CACTCTGAATCTGATCAGAGCGTAGCGCATCGCGAGAAGCTCCTTGTCGTGGACAGGATAGTTGCGCTCCGCTGGCTTCATCTGTTGAGACTGATAACTGACGACCCGTTCACGTCCTTCGTCGTCAAACTGCATCAGCGCACAGCCGATGGCAAAGTCGCTCGCGTCGCAAACGACGTGATATGGTTTCGAGTCGTCGGGAAGAGCTAGGATCGGCGCCTCAGCAAGGCTCTTCTTCACTGTGTCGAAGGCGGCTTTATGCGCGGGTGACCAGACCCATGTGGCATCTTTCTTCAGGAGTGATGAGAGGGGCTGGATCAATCCGGCGTAATTCTTCGTGTACTTGTGGAGATAATTTGCTAGCCCCAACCACTGACGCAGCTCAGTGGGGTTCTTTGGTGTCGGCCATGCGCAGATAGAGGACACCTTCTCCGGGTCGGCGCGAACGCCGTCTTTGCCCACGAAGCAGCCCAGCACCGGAATCTCCGGCGCGCAGAAGATACACTTCTTCAGGTTCGCGTACAACTTGTCCTCGCGCATCACTTGGAAGACCTGTTTTAAGTGCCTCAAGTGGACTTCTATTGCGCTGAGACCACCCTCAACGCGGCTGTGCACGAAGATGTCGTCGAAGTAGCTCGGGGCGACGTCTCGAAGCGGACGCAGCACATGGGAGACCATGCGATTGAACGTGGCAGGAGCATTCTTCAAGCCTTGTGGCATCACAAGCCACTCCCAGAGCATACCGCTGGGGGTGCTGACCGCTGTCAGGGGGATGTCGCTCGGTATCATCAAGATCTGATAGAATCCATCGGTCAAGTCGATGGCGCTGAAAACGACACTGCCCGCCATGGTGTCGAGCACCATGTCCTTCCGGGGAATTGGGGTTTGCGCGAAGATGGTCGCATCATTCAACTTGTTAAAGGCATGAACGATGCGCCATCCGCCTGTGGCCTTCTTCACACAGAACGTTGGGCTCGAATGTGGAGAGACACTCTCACGCACGTGACCCGCTTTACGGCGATTCTCGAAGAAGTCGTCGATGGCCTTGACTTGGTCTCGCGGCAGCGGCCACTGCCGCGTCACACAGTACTTCGAACCGGGCGCGAGATCGATCTCGTGGCGGACGCCTCGATCGGCAGGCAGTTCGGCTGGAATCTTATCGGGGAAGACGTCCGCGTATTCGCGGACGGTCTCGTACACTGGATTACCAGACTCGCGCAAGGACTCCCAGGACTGCGCTGCGAATCGCTCCTCGCGAGCGGACTTCGGTTCGGCGCTCTTGGGACGGGTGGATTCGTCGTCATCACTGACGGTGTTCCCTTCGAGTGATGTAGACGAAGTGTCTGTGATCAGGCAGACCTGCTCAACCTCACCAACCTTGAGACCACGAAGGAAGCTCTTCCAGGAGAGACCTGTAAGCCGGGTGATCGATTGAGCGTCGCGAGGTGGACACACAAGATCGACGGTGCGCTGACGGCCCATACCGTCGTCCACGTGCTCAATGACACAGACCGACTCCGTCTGTGAGATGCCGTTCGGTGCAGTTTCACGTCGTGGCTTCAAATGACGGCGCTTCGACTTCTTTGCCCGGCGCCTCGAGTGTGTACTCGAGGAGGAAGAATCGCTCTCGCTGGACGATGTATCACCCCGCTCTAGGCACTGAAGCTCACTCTCGACTGTGCCGGTCACACGCGGGGGCCACTGCTTGACCGCGTGGTCGTTCGGCGGGAGCTCCAACTGCTCGACCACCGGCTCGGGTGACGGGAGCCTCGACTGCTCGACCGCCGTGTTGCATTGCGGGAACCCATGCTCGACCGCCATATGGTGCTGCGGGAACTCATGCTCGACCGCTGTGGTGCGCCGCGGGAACCCATGCTCGACCGCAGTTGTGCGCCGCGGGAACCCATGCTCGACCGCTTGCTCGTATTGCGGGAATGCCTCATAACATCGCTAAGTCGCTTCTTCGATCATATTTCTTATCAATGCTGACTCGCGGTTCAATTTCGTGCCCCGTCAAAGGGAAAGGCTCCATTGAAGTGCTAGATTGGAATATTCCAACTCGCCTTAACTCGAATCATATGCCGAACTACACAGACGAAGCTGGCGAAATCGTTCGTCGTCTGATGATTGTTAAATTTGGCAAGCAAGTTCCCGATGACGAAGTCGATGTGGAACTTGACCCAGCTGGACGAGAAGGTGACGGACTCGAAGGCCCGCATTGAGGAGCTGAAGGAGCTCATCGGTCTGATGGAGGAGACCCGCACGACGCTGGCCACGACTATGGATGAGGTGACGGCCATGTACCCGGAGGTTGAGGAGGAGATCGACGACGAAATCGCCAACCTCGACTGGGAGAAGGACACGCAGTAAGATGCTGTCATCTAAGGACAGATAAAAATCTTGGACGCTGCAGCTTTCTACAAGAATACAGATGCAAAGTGGACGAGGGAGGCTTGATCAAGCAGGCGAGCAAGTGAGCACGTACAGCACAAATCGAGCTCTCCTCGTGGTTGGTGTATCCTCTTTAATTGCCAGCTCTTCCAAACACGCAAATTGAAGTGGGTTTGCATGTGTCTCGCTCCCCGACTCGTCCGTTTTTCACGTATATTCGGTGGTGTCTGCAACTCGTAACAGGATGTTACAACTATTTCAAAGCACAGCCCTTAACACCTTGATTACAATTATTGCTGGTGTTTTAGGCCATTCTTTTAGTTACTCACGCGTGCGG